GTGTGTGTGTGTGTGTGTGTGTGTGTGTGTGTGTGTGTGTGTGTGTGGACATCAGACAAAGACTTGTTCGCTCAGGTTCATGAGTCTGCTGTAATCACGTTAGGATCGAGCACTCTCCCAGAGTCCCACAGACACTCACGTGAAGTTGGGTGGGTGTGCCAAAGTGTGTGTGTGTGTGTGTGTGTGTGTGAGACGTGAACATGTCAGCTTCACAGGCGACGGCTGTCTGTCGGGGGGGCGTTGGTCTCAGCGGGTCAGAGCAACATGTACTGGTTGTCTATCGCCCGCTTGCGACCTCGCACGGGCTCCAGCTCGTAGTCCGAGTCCCGCTGAGGGATGTGGGCGATGGGGTGGCGGGGCAAGAGGGGCCTCCTCCCCACCGACTCACTCTGCCGGAGAGGAGCGGAGGCCGACGGAGGAGGATCGGGCGCCAGGTTGATGCGAGCGAACGGCCGGTTCACGGGCTGAGGAACCGAGCCGGGGCTGGAAGTGGTGCTGGTGCTGGTGGGGCAGGAGGAACGGGGCTGACCGGAGCTGCGAGCCAGGCTGCAGTGAGCCAGGCTGGGCTCAGAACTCCACCGATGGATGGAGAACGGGACGAGAAGAGCGCCAGAGAGCTGACCTGAGATTTAAAAAAAAAAAAAAAGACAGAAATTAGCGTTTTGGTGACAAGAAGCAAAAACCTTCTTTCCATTTCTGCTTACCGTCACACAACAACAACACAGGATTGCACTCATGTCATTTAAGGACAAATCTTATGTGTGTAGTTTGGGTCATCATTACTATTGGAAATGTAATGTAAAGTCCCCCCTTTGTCTCCGGTCCTGTTCGTGCCTTTCATGGACAGGATATCTAGGCGCAGCCTCGGGACGGAGAACGTCAGGTTCGGGGGTCTCGGGATCGCCTCTCTGCTATTTGCAGATGATGTGGTCCTGTTAGCCTCCTCGGATTGTGACCTCCAGCATTCACTGGGGCGGTTTGCAGCCGAGTGTGAAGTGGCGGGGATGAGAGTTAGCACCTCCAAATCTGAGGCCATGGTGCTCTGCCGGAAACCGGTGGATTGCTCCCTCCAGGTGGGGACGGAGTGCCTACCTCAAGCGAAGGAGTTCAAGTATCTCGGGGTCTTGTTCCCGAGTGAGGGTAAGATGGAGCGGGAGATTGACAGACGGATCGGTGCAGCTGCAGCAGTAAAGCAGGCGCTGCACCGGACCGTCTTGGTGAAGAGGGAGCTGAGCCGGAAGGCAAAGCTCTCAATTTACCACTCGGTCTACGTTCCTACCCTCACCTATGGTCACGAACTCTGGGTCGTGACCGAAAGGACAAGGTCGCGGTTGCAAGCGGCCGAAATGAGTTTCCTCCGTAGGGTGGCCGGGCTCAGCCTTAGAGATAGGGTAAGGAGCTCGGTCATCAGGAGGGAGCTTGGAGTAGAGCCGCTACTCCTTCGCGTCGAAAGGAGTCAGCTGAGGTGGTTCGGGCATCTAATTAGGATGCCTCCTGGACGCCTCCCACTGGAGGTTTTCCAGGCACGTCCAACTGGGAAGAGACCCCGGGGAAGACCCAGAACACGCTGGAGAGATTACATCTCCCAGCTGGCCTGGGAACGCCTAGGCGCCTCATTCTGGGGATCCCCCAGAATGAGCTGGAACATGTTGCCGGTGAGAGGGAGGTCTGGGTCAGCCTGCTTGGCCTGTTGCCACCGCGATCCGACCCCGGATAAGCGGAGGAAAATGGATGGATGGATGTAATGTAAAGTTATTACATAACTGTTACAGATGTAAACATCCATCAAAGTTCATAGAATATTCAGAGAATATTTTTTCTTTTGTAAAACCTTCTATAAGTATCTCCTCTCAGATGTATCCTGTGACCCAGTATGCAGTACAAATATCATGAAAAGGTCATAATATAGTATGTCATAAGAACATCATTATGTCATAGCCTGGTGTGTCATAAAAGGTTCATTAAAAAGTAATTTTATCGTATAAAAGGGCGTAGGATCGTGTGATGCAAAAAAAAGTGATAGTAAGGTACGGCACAAGTATAGCAGAAACTCTCACGGCATTTCAGATCTCAGCTGCAGTTCAACAGTTTGAATTAAGGGGAAACACATCAATACTGATTTCAAACTTTTGAACATCAGTGAACATCTGTACCGTAAGCAATAAAAATGATGTTGAAAACTACACACATATGACCCAACTTGTAATAAAGCTGAAGTACAAGTTGACACAAAGCGACAGACAGACAGGTGGGTGGTGGAGTCTCACCCTGTGATGGAGGGCTGGAGCCCGCCACTACGAAGCTGGACAGCGTGACGGCGCCGGCGGCGCCGCACTCTAGCGGGATGGGGAAGAGGCGGAAGTGACTGAGCATGTCCACCACGGACGGGAAGCGCAGGTGCTGCACCCGGCACTGACCCCATTCTGTCAGCGAGAGGCGCAGGTGCTGCAGAGACAGAGAGGCGGAGACGTGAGGACGGAGACGCCCTGTTTGAGGTCATGCAAGAGCTGATTTTTGTCCCCTTCCTTTTATTTAGCCCGCTGGTCAGCACTCGCACAATTTAACGTCTTTACCGTCAGCAGTGTGTTTGCATAATACTTACTCGTCTACCACCGTTGATGAAACAACGTCGTCACCAGTTTAACGTAACCAGGAGAAAATAAGAACAATATAGGGTTTTGGGTTCATATTGCTAGATCTTTTGGTGAACTGGCCCACAGCAGGACGCCATGAGGAGACGTACCTTTGCTTTCCCCTGGTAGTTAAACGTGAGGACGTAGTCTCCTCTCCGCGTCTCGCTCTGTCGGACCAGAAACACTCCGTGTCCTTGCGGTCCGGCGCTCTGGACCAGGTGGGCGGCCTTGACGCGGGAGATGGGCCCGTGGAACCAGGGGTAGGAGAACAGGAAGTGATCGGCTTTCTGGACAACCTGCTCGGGCAGGAACGTGACGGGGCCTAGTGGGATTAACAGAGGACTGAAACTGTATCATTTCTATAAATCATAAAGCTGGACTAATACTTTCATAGTAATAATGGATCAAATGACCACGTGTGATGTACAACGTGTCCCAATTATCACCCAACTCTGCAGTCAAAAATAATGAAATTAATACCGCTATTAATTACAGTTTATTAAGACATGAACATCGTCTATATCTTCAAAGTGTTTCCATTGTTTCTGTTAGTTATGATAACTGGGTATTCACTGAGTTCAGTGCTGAGAAGTACAGAAGAGAGTTCAGGCCCTTTGTGAATGAATAGTTTATCTAGATTTAAGAAACTACTTCATTTTGAGTTAATTTGGAGTAAAGTGAAAGCACTAAAAACATCTGGAATGATCATAGAGTGCATGTAAGAAGTGGACGTAGTTGTGACGTCACCCATTGGTTTGTGGACTGTGGTTTTGAAGCCTTGAGTTTGAGATTTTGGCCATCGCCATCTTGTTATTTTGCTACCAGTGAGTGGAATTGACCATATTTGGACTGTGGAGGAGTGACAGAGACAGTGTATCCACCTGTCAATCACAAGGTGTCCCACCCTAAAGCATTCTCTGCTTTATTGTTTACAAAGGTAATAAATAAAGTGGGAAGTCTATTTTCTCATAGACTTCAATACAATCAGACTTATTTCTGCTATCAGAGGAGTTGCCGCCTGCTGGCCAGCAGAGAGAATGCAGGTTTAAGGCACTTCTGCATTGGCTTCACTTTTCAGAATTGGAGGTTGCCACCAGGTAATAATCCCTCCCTGCAGAGGGAATCTGTGAACACAACTATGGAAAAGTACAACTTAAAGTTGCACCAGGACGTTAATCTGCATGCTGTGATGAATGGTGAGGTTGGGTAATCATTCACCTTTGTTTTCTTTCTAAAACAAATTTAGCGAACCTGGAAGTTTGTCTAAAAACACCTGAATACTTGTGTATTCTTTCCCCGTTGGCTGAACCAACACGAGTCCTTGTTATGTATTTAAAGCAGAGAGGCAGTTTGAGAAGACTCGTGCACCTAACGCCCACGTTATTATCCGACACCGGGACTCAACATTTAGCCCCAGAAGTGTAAACCTGAGAGTATCAGGAGCTTCTTTTACCCAGAAGCACCCTCTCTTACCCAGAAGCACCCTCTCCTCATCTCACCACTCACTTTGACACCCTAACTCTGAGCTGCCTCTGTGATTGGCTGGAGCAGCGCTGTCAGCTGGGGACGGGAGAGGCTCCAGATCCACACTGCCTGACCTGAAGGACAAAAACAGATTTCAGATTGCACACACTGCATCATCGACAACACAAGTATGTTATTCTCATTGTGTTGTCACACCTGGGGAGGAAAATAGGTCAATTTCATGATTACTTCATTTTGAGCCATTCTTCCCCCATCAGTGTTAACCACCAGTCTTATAAGAAAGATTCATGTTTTCTGTGGCAAGTGACCATAGTCTCAGTGAACTAAAGCCCTTCAAGCTGACCATCATCAGGGATTGATGGTCCTCATTGAGCATTATCCCGGACTTATATGTTGTTTGTTGTTGATACATGCAACTGTTTTTAGTTCCTTGTTATTGTGCACTTGCGTTGTTTCCGTTTTGTGTTCTTGTTCTCAGGTCTCTCTTGGAAAAAAAGAGCTTATTCTCAATGCCTCACAAAATAAAGATTAAATGAAAATATAAATAAATGTTTACAGCCTCCAAATCTGTACTTCTACTTCAATCTGTCAGCAATTCTTGTGTTCAACTTCACTACATAGGCCCATCCCACACTAACAAAAACATATCTATAAACATCAGAAGGGAATGTATATTTCCATCATTCCATTGAGAAGAGGAACAGAAAAGAGCAGGAATTATTAATGGAGTCGTACAAAGTGTGCTCGCATTGGGGTTATAAATTTAATCCATTTATTTAAAAATTGATAGAATTTGTCTTTTTGGACCCTCAAAGAATAAGTCTGTTCTTCTAATTTAAATATTAATCATTTGAGAGGGGTGTGTATTAGGGGTGTCGGCGATTCTCCCAGCATTTTTTTAATCTTTCCATCCTCTCTTACTTGCGTGGCATCCAGAGAAAAAACAACAACAACAACACACACTTCAAAGACAACACAGGGCAGCTAGCATCTTGGCTGCAGCTCCACTTTTGGAGACACCAAGGCCACTGGTGGAGGACGAGATGACGGAGAAACAACAGAACTGTAAAATCCTCATGCTTCCCCGAATTCACGGGTGTGGCAACACTTCGCCTTCCCCGTGAGCGTGTTTGTAGGCTGCAGAAGATTTAGAGACTGCAGCATCCAGTCATATAGCGATGTCGTAGTCTAACAATGACACAGCAACTAGTGCTGAAAACATCGAATCACGACCATAAAATCTAAAGTCAAATCAAAGATTAGGAGAATAGTGTGTGTGAGTGTGTGTGTGTTGTTGTTGGGGTAAACCTAGTGAACATGGAGGAAACAGCAGGCTGAAGGAACACTAAGACACAGACAGGAAGAGAGTCCAGTTCACATGAGCGAAGACTTACTGCTCTTCTGTTTCACTGCTCACACACATCGCCACCCAAACACAAGTACACACACACACACACACACACACACACACACACACACACACACACACACACACACACACACACACACACACACACACACACACACACACACACACACACACACACACACACACACACACACACACACACACACACACACACACACACACACACACAAACAGTATAAGTGTGTGTGTACATACACATGAGATCGGGAAGGTTAAAGAAGGAAGCCCGATCAGATCCTGCTAAAATGCTGACTTGAGTTTGCAGCGCTCTGAATAACAGGAAGACAAGTCTCCTTTCTCTCTCCTCACTCTGTGTGTGTGTGTGTGTGTGTGTGTGTTCTTCTATCTTTGTGAGAATCAGTTCACGTTTTACTCTTGCAAAGTGAGGACATTTTGCAAAGGGTGGACATTTCAGCCAGTCAGCAATGCTTACACCTCCCACATCCGACCACATCTAAAAGGAAAAGTGTTTATACTCGTTGCGAATGGCCCCCACTCGAAAAGGCAGCATCGCGTTACAATGCCTCCCCCGCCTCTCTATTGCAGGTTTCTGTAGTCTCGACTACACACATTTAGAAGGAGGTAGGTGTATTAGTAAAATGTGTTACTAATAATGATGTCACTGTTCTTTTCAAGTGTCCCAGTGAGCCGTGACAGTGAGCCAGCATGCACAATATCAGGACCCTGAAACTGAAACACCTGGGCTTTTCCTGCTCAATACCGTCAGTGAGAGAGGGCTATCTTTTGTCTCAACGGACATTCGTGGTGGCGTTCATGCGATAAGTGACGAAAGTCAAGTGTAAGTGATGTGTGTGAAAGATACGAAAGAGGCAAATGACTGTAAAGTGGTCACGATTGTCAAAATGCTGTCGTGGAAAGTTTTGACAGCCCGACTCCATTCACATGAATGAGAGAAATCTCACACACTTTGTTTGAAGCGTCCTGACACACATACGGTCAGAATTAGGATGAGGTTAAAGGCCTTTGCACACGAAGTTTGTAATTTTCGTCTTAAATTGTCGCACATTTAAAAATAAACACAACCTTGTGTAAATCATGTTCACACACCGACAACAAAACCTTCGTCCGTCATTAAAGTCTTGGGAACAGGTTTGATTTTCTGCGTTTTTTTTTGCATCCGTCAGAGTCGTTTGACTATTCAGAGCCACCGTAAATGCAAATGACATCACCCAAAATGGAATCTGACGAGCGGGGATTCACTGCGTTCACTTGTCTCCCGGCACAAAGCACTCACGACAAACAGAGTGAGGAATACAGAGAGGCAGAATTTAAAGATAGATGGCAGGTTACTGCAGAACAGCTTGGGATGGTCCCAAAACAAAGGATTGATGTGTGAAAGATTAGACAGTAGCGACTGTGCTATAGACAGCCCAACAATAGCTTCTTGTTATTGAAGTACTTTGATCCTTAGACCTGTTTGGCACCATTTCACCCACTTAATAAATTCAGTTTCGTCTTGTATTGCGAATTTCTGCAACAACGAAAAAGAGTGACAGAGTTTTGAAAAACAGATCTCTCACCTCACTTATCTTCACACCAGCCAAGAAGATAACAATCCAAACATGCACGCACTAGGCCCATATTTTGGCTGATAATAAGTTGATTGCAGATATACTGTTATCAGTGTGCATGTTGTTTGATAAGTAACAAGAAAATGCAGAAAGGCCAAACTAGGTTGTAGGTCCTTTAGAAAGTGTGTGTCTCCATTATATAGTTTGTCCAACAGAAAGCACAGACAACTTGATTCTTCAAGTGTAAGAATGTTTAGATTAAATTCAGTATTGGTTGGTTGGGCGCACACACAACACATTGTATGCAATTTAATGAATCCAGGCACATGTTTTGATAAAAAAATGAGGAGATGAAAACTGTAATACTGTATAAACACTGAATTCGAGAGAGAACTCTGACCTCACTTTCACACTGGATGAGTGTTCACTGTAATGACTGTGTGTGTGTGTGTGTGTGTGTGTGTGTGTTGCAGACATCTGCAGAAATGAAAAAGGTCCTGAGACTCTCCCGAGTCTCAGACCTCACCCACACACTTCCTTTCGCAGAGCAACACACGCACGCACAGAAACACACACGTATGCTCTGAAACATATGTACTTTTTTTGGTCTAATCCTGACGTCTGATGCTAAACATAATGTTTGTCACACTGAAACGAAAGACGGAAAACAGCAGAATTGTCCGTGTCTGTATCACAGTATTGAGTCTTATTATGAATATCACTTAATATAGAGAATTGTTTCCAATGCTACACTTAGCAGAGCAGATCAGCTTACAGTTCCTAAGTTCAGCTTGATTTCGAAACGGCATTTATTGCAGAACATTCGAGCGGTAACAGAAGTCCCTCCACACCAGATGTTTAACCTCTCAAAAGGTTTAGTGTAAATATTAAGTTGACTGATGAATGATTATTTCCAGGAATATTCCAAATATAACAAGACTCCCGCTGCTCCAGCATGAAGAGCTCTAAAGAAAACGAATGCGCGGACAAACTTACACACACACGTGCACGCACGCAAATGTTTGTCCAGATATACACACAAACCGCAAAATATTCTCACTTGCATTCGCAAACACATACCTCTGCACAAGTAAACACCCAGCACACCCAGCAACACTAAAAACAGCCAAAGTCCAAGTGTTAAATGTTTCCACTCACAATCTCAAGGAAAAAAAGCTGTTAGGAGAAATGGACGAGGACGATGCAGATCCCTGTTACATACTCGGTGTGTGTGTGTGTGTGTGTGTGTGTGTGTACACAGCTAGCTTGGTCAGGTTGAGTTATGTTTTGGATTTCATGACTAAGTTTTAAATTGGGCTCAGATTCAAATATACGCTGAAAAAAAACCCCTCTACATTTATAGTATGAACAGTTGGATCGAATTTGAAAAAGAGAATCCAGTATGTTTGAAACAGACCAACAGGGTTGAAACATTGAGATTTCCAGTAAGGTAAAGTATCAGACTTTGTGTTGAAAGTCTTTTCTCACCTGTTGCTGATACATTCTTTTAGCTCTGTGGTCCAGGAGCTGACCTGCTGGTCGTTGTCCGTCTCAAATATCAGACTACCTCGATTAACCTGCAGATACAAAGATGCGTTCAAATGAGCCGTCCACATTATATTGATGCCAGGCAAGCGACATTGTGTAAATGCGAGAAATGGGCTTAAGTGCTATTTCTCTAATGCTATTCATACTGAGCATTTTTAAGGCTTAATATTGCCATTTAGGCAGCGGCTCACCTTTTTGTAGCTCATTCCAATGATAAAAAACAGGTTCAAGTGATGCAAATACTCCCTGCAGTGTAAAAACTCTGTAGCTTACTTCTTTGTGAACAAAGGTCGTTATCAAGTTGGATTTATGTCCGTAACAACGGATTGCAATGAAAACCATTGCAATCCGTACAGCAACAAAAAACAACACAACAACAAAGAAACAGCCGTGTTTTTAGATATAGATTTTGGTGGAACGATGGTCGGTGGTGAACGTGGATGGACAGCAGAGAAGGGATTGGTGATGTGAGAAGTTTCTGTGCATGTTTTGATACGTTCCTCCCTCTCGTAAACACACATCTTATGACAGCCATCTTTCAACTCAGGAGACAAGGCGTGGTTGGAATAGTTCAAACCAACAAGGTTTAAATATAAAGGCTGCTGGTGAGTTTTGTTTTGAAATGATACGACACAATGATTGTCCCGTTTCCTCTTCATGTAGGATTGAGGGTTGGAGATCTAAGCAAATGTGGGCACAGAGTCTGCAGACGACAACTGCGGCCCCTTTTGATCGGACTCTTACAACCGCTCAGTTAAAAAACTCGTACGCACCTTTAAAACAAATGTGTTTAAGTTGTCAGGCATCTCCAGCCGGTTGCAGCGACGGACTTCTTGGATATCTGAGCAGTGAGTGGTCAGCTTGGGACTGGAGGCCTGAAACACACAACAAAGACACGACGACTGTCAGGCGGTAGTCTGGAGAAAGGTGACACGAAAAGGCACTGAAAAAAAACCTGAAACAAAGAAAGGAGGAGAGTGAGTGAGTGAGTGCAATTATAATCTCTTTCACAGTTAAATGTCTTTTCAAAAGCCGGTTTTTGTAATGAGGAAATGAGTCTAAGGTGAGTGACCATGTGAAAGGGTGTGTGAGTGTGAAGCCTCCCTTAGTGAGAGAGAAGGCAGGGAACTATATGGAAGAGGAGCATGATGGGAGCTCTCGTGGCGGAGCTCCGAGGTCTACCCCACCAGAACAAACTATGGAATTGAAGAGTGAGATATGAGGGGCTGACCTGAGGCACAGAATGAACTCCACATACTGGGACTTTAAGTCAGGCTTGTGACCTTTTCTGCATGTCGACCACCAACAAAACCGTCAGCGAGATTCTTTCAACAGGTGTTAGGACCTCGCTTTAAAGTCCTGTCCCATGCAGGTGGACCTGAAGCAGGCTGGTGTGTGTGTGTGTGTGTGTGTGTGTGTGTGTGCACATCCATGGCTGCACAACTACAGACACTCAAGCTCAAACTAATCACACGTCACTAATAAAGCGGTGCCTTTCGAGCCCCCTTAAGCAAACGAGTGCCAACGGAGCCGGCGGCATAACCACACGCACGGATGGATGACTTGGTCAGCCATGTGTGCGGGCCTGTGGCATGTTGGGTCATAGGTCACGTCTGAAATGAAGGCTGGTTGACAGATGATAAAAAATATGTGTCGAGACAAGAGAGCCAGCAACTCCTATTTAGGGTTTATAACTATTGTGTGTGTGTGATATGTTGGCTTCGTGTATATTACCAACTGTTGCAGATTTACTTAAGTATTCACTTTATATAAAGTTAAAATTGAGTTTCCTATGACACAGTATGTTTTTAATATAGGATCTTTGATTGATCCGTCATCGATTCATTTTCGACTATGAACCACAATATCTTTCCTTTACCATAACCACAGCCAAGCCCAGGATGGAGTCCCCTCAAATGAATTAAACTACACACAATTAAAGTGAAGTGCACTTAACTTTCTCTGGTACACAGTGGAGGCTAACAAGCTACATCAACTCCACGGGCACAAACATATGCTAAGAGAGAATAACAACAAAAGTGTGTGTGTGTGTGTGTGTGTGTGTGTGGAGGAGTAGCGTGAGAGAGCAGAAGCAGCAAAAGGAAACAGACGAGACAGTGAAAGACGCGGCGTTGGGTGGGAGAAAAGGGAGGGATGAGGAGCAGAAGAAAGAGCAGGGAGGACGGATTCCAGGGCTTTGTGCACCGGATGAGCTTGAGTCCATGTGACAGTGTGTGAGCCTGAGGAATGTCTATGATAATCACACACACACACACACACACACACACACACACACACACACA